GGCCTACCACCAAATCGCTTGAAATTGCTGTTTTCTTTAGCTCCTTCCTTAACTCTTAAGTACGCAGGCCTAACCGGGGTCGACACCTGAAGAACAGACGTTAACTGCAACGACAGATTTTCTAACATTTTGCTGTTATGACAAGATATAAATAAATGTATAAATAAGGAAAGTAAATTACAAAAATGTGATAAAAATAACGACAGTCAACTGATTCGTAGTCAGATGCTTTATCCGTCGGGCCACAGGGCCGGTCGATACGCAGAATAGCAGTAATAGTATTGTACAGAATTTTAGAGTTAAGGTCCTGCTGTCTTTCTAATTGTGATTTTGATTAATAATCGAATATGTGTTAATTTTAAGGAACACTATAACCATTTCACTGTTAATTAGGCCAACACCTTCAAATTTTCTTATTTTAAACATTTTTTGATTTGCCCTTTTGCAGAGATCAAGTATTTATAGCTGTCTCTTATACACATCTGTGTGTGTGTGTGCGCGCATGATGTGACGTCACCATGATCATATTTTGGTGTGCCACATGTTTTTGCCAGATAGAATTTGATAATCTAGACCGGCCTCAGCTCTACGGTATAAGGTTGATCAAGTAAAACTAGACATTCTCCAAACAACTTAAGTGCGTACGCCCTCAATGAAACTGTAGCCTGAACTGTGAATTAAAATCAGAGTTGGAGCACTGTAGAGACCTAGCCTAAACAAATAATCTTATAGAGCATAAGGCCTCTAACGAAGAGATGTCTATCAGTTGCCTCAGTTTCATTATCGTCACTCATACCTTTAAAACATTCTTGAAAATACTATACGAGCTGAATAAGATCATTGACTCATGTAAAAGGCATGGGTCTCATCCTACGTTGTGACAAGTATGCTACTGTGCCTGTCGACAGTAGATAAAATAGACGCAAGGTCATAAGATTATGTATCTTATCATTCATTAAGATATAATCAATTGGATATTATAATGGAACTTTTTATCTGTAATAAAGATATAATCAATTTAAGTGCATATGGTAGGTGATGCATGAAATATTAAACAGTGCTTACATGGTCAGGTTTTATTAAAAGGAACTATGTACATGCACTATTAAACAAACAGTATGCATATATTTATATTTTAGTTTTTGTCCGTCTAGATAAGACATCCTTTGCCGAACACCATAAGGAAATGCATGCTTTGTTACTACCATCAATAAGTGTAACTTCAATATATAAACGACATGAATGATATTGACAAGAAAGTGAAGAAGTCCTAGCTGGGAAAATGAGGTTAATAATTGATGATCAGCAAATTGCAAGTAGAGTAGGCACCTCGGGGCACAAAGTGTCTGGAGCAAATAAACTCCCTTCCCATCTCCCTTCTTCTTAATAATCTGCTGCTGCTACTTCACACTACCATTAATGATGTTGTAAACTTTAAATGCTCCAGAGAGAAAGAAACTATTTCTTAATGATTACTCACTTAGGCCTACCACCAAATCGCTTGAAATTGCTGTTTTCTTTAGCTCCTTCCTTAACTCTTAAGTACGCAGGCCTAACCGGGGTCGACACATGAAGAACAGACGTTAACTGCAACGACAGATTTTCTAACATTTTGCTGTTATGACAAGATATAAATAAATGTATAAATAAGGAAAGTAAATTACAAAAATGTGATAAAAATAACGACAGTCAACTGATTCGTAGTCAGATGCTTTATCCGTCGGGCCACAGGGCCGGTCGATACGCAGAATAGCAGTAATAGTATTGTACAGAATTTTAGAGTTCAGGTCCTGCTGTCTTTCTAATTGGGATTTTGATTACTAATCGAATATGGTGTTAATTTTAAGGAACACTATAACCATTTCACTGTTAATTAGGCCAACACCTTCAAATTTTCTTATTTTAAACATTTTTTGATTTGCCCTTTTGCAGAGATCAAGTATTTATAGTACATATAAATATAATTGGGGCTAGAATTGTACCCTGGGGTACACCACCCGAGAGTGTGACCCAATCAGAGTATTGGTTTTTTTTTACCTAACCCGTTGTTGCTTGTTGGAAATTAAATCAATCTTATGTATATAAGAAGCTATATATATAAATATTGAAACTAGGTATATGCGGAGTATATGTGTATAAATATATGTGTATATATCCTCTGATATCGCACGGGCCTGTGGGAAGCCGATCATACAACACAATAAATACATTTGTGGTCTAAAGGGTATGAACTCGCCGAGATAGAATTTTTATGCCACAAACAAGTACAAAAACAACCACCAAGACAAAATACAATGAACTCATCATATAGGATGAAAATGTCATTCATTAAATGACGAAAATGTACACATTAAATGTATTATACGGTAATGTAAAAAGGAAGGGGGTCAGCTTATAATCATATTTCGTTGAAAACGTACGTATCGATTGTTGTAATACATACGAGTAAAACAGAAGAGTGCCAGAGTAGAAATTAGGCACTGCACTCATGAAGAACTTCGTGGCGAAAAGACAACCAGGAATTCCCTGGTAACACGGTGTGTCTTGTTTGTGACATAAATGTATTAGTTTTTTCATACACCTATAGTAAAGAACTTTCGTTGAAGATGTGTATAAGAGACAGAAAAGGAACTATGTACATGCACTATTAAACAAACAGTATGCATATATTTATATTTTAGTTTTTGTCCGTCTAGATAAGACATCCTTTGCCGAACACCATAAGGAAATGCATGCTTTGTTACTACCATCAATAAGTGTAACTTCAATATATAAACGACATGAATGATATTGACAAGAAAGTGAAGAAGTCCTAGCTGGGAAAATGAGGTTAATAATTGATGATCAGCAAATTGCAAGTAGAGTAGGCACCTCGGGGCACAAAGTGTCTGGAGCAAATAAACTCCCTTCCCATCTCCCTTCTTCTTAATAATCTGCTGCTGCTACTTCACACTACCATTAATGATGTTGTAAACTTTAAATGCTCCAGAGAGAAAGAAACTATTTCTTAATGATTACTCACTTAGGCCTACCACCAAATCGCTTGAAATTGCTGTTTTCTTTAGCTCCTTCCTTAACTCTTAAGTACGCAGGCCTAACCGGGGTCGACACATGAAGAACAGACGTTAACTGCAACGACAGATTTTCTAACATTTTGCTGTTATGACAAGATATAAATAAATGTATAAATAAGGAAAGTAAATTACAAAAATGTGATAAAAATAACGACAGTCAACTGATTCGTAGTCAGATGCTTTATCCGTCGGGCCACAGGGCCGGTCGATACGCAGAATAGCAGTAATAGTATTGTACAGAATTTTAGAGTTCAGGTCCTGCTGTCTTTCTAATTGGGATTTTGATTACTAATCGAATATGGTGTTAATTTTAAGGAACACTATAACCATTTCACTGTTAATTAGGCCAACACCTTCAAATTTTTTTATTTTAAACATTTTTTGATTTGCCCTT